TGCCCCATCGTCGTGTCATGGCAGGAGCTATGCCACATTGATGCTGACAGTGGGAGGAATAATGCCCCGAGGGCCAGATAAAAGCAAGCACATCTCGCCCTTGGGACGCAATTTGGAGATTACTGGCATAGAGAATCACAGAGACTTGGTGTGGATGCCACTGGGTCTAAAATAAGTTACGTATTGAAAACTGTAAAAGCTTTATTTAGTTATTTAATTAGTACATTGATGAGACTAAGGAAAGGGGAACCAGGCAACATATAAAGTAGAATAAACATCAGCTTTAAGAGAAATGCACTTATGTCTGGGTATCTTCCAAAAGCTCAGTTCAGTGCTGCATTCTCCATTCCTGTCTCTGGTCTGCTCAGCCAAGTCTTGCCAAGGCATGCAGGCATTTTTTTAACACGCTTCTCTGGGCGATCCTGCCTTCCCTACAGCCGTCTACTTGTATTCCAGAATAAACAAAGACTATCTCCAGCAGTCATGCTGGAATCTTCATGTTTGCATTTGCAGAGAGGGACGGAGCAGTTTTTTTTCACCCTAAAAGGCCACGATTTGTTAAAAAATAAACCTTCCACGTGAACTATGCGAGGAGAAGCCAGTAGCAGCACGCTCACAGGAGACGGCAAGCTCCAACCTGAAGCTAACTTTCTGCCCTCCAACCTCCGCATTCATTAGAGCAAATTACAGGGAGAGGATCGGCAGCACAAGGCATTCCCTCATCACAACCTATAATTTCATCAGAGCTAATCTGCAGTATGTGGCGAGGAAAGAATCACCGCCGTCCGCGCTGGGACTGATTTGCATGGCTTCAATAGAGATTGTTCAGTTTGTGGTTTGTAGAGAACACAATGAGCAAGGAAAATCTCATTCAAATTACTTGTAAGGACCAGAATTCAGGAACAAAGCACATATCAGCCCCGGGTAAAGACACACTCCTCTCAACAGTTACAAAATTAAAGGGAAGCTAGAAAATATTTTAATATTGTCCGTAAAGGGCTCAAACAGTGTTAGAATCTGTCCAAGAAAAAAGGTGTACTCCACTTAAAGCTGAACTTCAGGCAAACAGCTAAATGCACAGACCTCCCAAAGAAGTTGTGTTTTTTTGTTCATCCTGTTCTAGGATATATACAGCTCTGTCTCACAGCACGGTCTGGGGAGGGGCTGATCTTAATCTGATGCAGTTACTATAACTCATAGGTCTCCTCCCAATCTCTACTTTGTGATTGGGTAGTGATAGTTGAGGCAACAAGAACCACTGGCTCCTACTGCTGTCAATCAAATCCTGTGAGCAGGGGGTGGCTCTGAGCCACAATGTGTTACATAGTTAGTCTGGCTGAAAAAAGACAAAAGTCCATCCAGTTCAAGCATAAAAAAAAAAAAAAAAAAAAAAGTTATAATCCTATACCCACAGTTGATCCAGAGGAAGGCCAAAAAAAACCCCAGCAAAGCATGATCCATATTGCTCCTGCTGGGAAAAAAAATTCCTTCCTGATCCCCCGAGAGGCAATCGGATATTCCCTGGATCAACTTTACCTATAAATGTTAGTATCCAGTTATATTCTGTGTATCTAAGAAAGAATCCAGGACTTTTTTGAAGCAATCCACTGAGCTGGCCAGAACCAACTCTTGAGGGAGTCTATTCCACATTTTCACAGCTCTTACTGTGAAGAAACCATTCCGTGTTTGGAGATTAAATTTCTATTCCTCCAGACATAATGTGATGTGATGTGTGATTCTATGAATATACACAGCCTGGCTGAAGACCGTGCCTGCACCAGTGCCTCTACAGCAGCCGGCTTGAGAACCTAGAAAAGGAGGTAAGAGACCTCTCTGTGCAATACCATTACAAACAGCAAGTACAGTGCCTTCAAAAAGTATTCATACCCCTTGAAATTTTCCACATTGACATGTTACAACCAAAAACTTAAATGTATTTTATTGGGATTTTATGTGATACACCAACACAAAGTGGCACATAATTGTGAAGTGGAAGGAAAATAAAGGATTTTCAACATTTTTTACAAATAGATATCTGAAAAGTGTGGCGAGGATTTGTATTCAGCCCCCCGGAGTCAATACTTTGTAGAACCACCTTTTGCTGCAATTCCAGTTGTAAGTCTTTTTGGGGATGTCTCTACCAGCTTTGCACATCTAGGGAGGGACATTTTTGCCCATTCTTCTTTGCAAAATAGCTCAAGCTCTGTCAGATTGGATGGAGAACATCTGTGAACAGCAATTTTCAAGTCTTGCCACAGATTCTCAATTGGATTTAGGTCTTGACTTTGACTGGGCCATTCTAGCACATGAATATGCTTTGATCTAAACCATTCCATTGTAGCTCTGGCTGGATGTTTAGGGTCGTTTTCCTGCTGGAAGGTGAACCTCCGCCGCAGTCTCAGGTCATTTGCAGACTCTTAACAGGTTTCCTTCTAAGATTGCCCTGTATATGGCTCCATCCATCTTCCCATCAACTCTGACCAGCTTCCCTGTCCCTGATGAAGAAACGCATCCCCACAACATGATGCTGCCACCACCACGTTTCACAGTGGGGATGGCGTGTTCAGGGTTAGTTTTCCGCCACACATAGCTTTTGCTTTTAGGCCAAAAAGTTCAATTTTGGTCTGATCTGACCAGAGCATCTTCTTCCACATGTTTGCTGTGTCCCCCACATGGCTTCTCGCAAACTGCAAATGGCACTTCTTATGGCTTTCTTCTTGCCACTCTTCCATATAGGCCATATTTGTGGAGTGCACGGCTAATAGTTTTCCTGTGGACTGATTATCCCATCTGAGCTGTGGATCTGCAGTGCCTCCAGAATTACCATGGGCCTCTTGGCTGCTTCTCTGATTAATGCTCTCCTTGCCCGGCCTGACAGTTTAGGGGACAGCCATGTCTTGAAGGTTTGCAGTTATGCCATACTCTTTCCATTTTCGGATGATGGATTGAACAGTGCTCCGTTAGATGTTCAAAGCTTGGGATTTTTTTTTATTATAACCTAACCCTGCTTTAAACTTCTCCACAACTTTATCCCTGACCGGTCTGGTGTGTTCTTTAGCCTTCATGATGCTGTTTGTTCACTAATGTTCTCTAACAAACCTCTGAGGGCTTCACAGAACAGCTGTATTTGTACTGAGATTAAATTACACACAGGTGGACTCTATTTATTAATTAGGTGACTATTGAAGGCAATTGGTTCCACTAGATTTTAGTTAGGGGTATGGAGTAAAGGGGGCTGAATACAAATGCAAGCCACACATTTCAGATATTTGTAAAAAAAATTTGAAAACCATTTACCATTTTCATTCCACTTCACAATTATGTGCCACTTTGTGTTGGTCTTTCACATAAAATCACAAAATCCATTTACGTTTTTGGTTGTAACATGACAAAACGTGGAAAATGTCAAGGGGTATGAATACTTTTTCAAGGCACTGCAAGTATAAACTCTTATATTTTAGGGGAAAACAAATTAGCCTTTATAACCACCAACATTTATGGCAAGCGCACAAGACACCTGCAGTTTTCTGAGCATAAGAAAAACAACCCAGAATATGAAAACACATCTACATGCATGAGCCTTCAGTTACAGAAACCTTTACTTGAAAATAATCATTTCTATGACTAACACCTTTGTTTAATGAAGAAAAAAGAAAAAAACAGCACCCAGTCTCTAATCCTCTATATGTCCTTTATTTCTTCTCTGGCTTACATTCAAGGCAAAGTAGAGCTTTGCATGGTAGATTGTTGTATTGGGGAGGGCGAGTATATTTGCTTGTAGGAGAGATATGTGTTACGTACTACTGCACTCTGCATTACTTACTACTGACCGCTACACTCCGCTCTACTTACCAATGACCCCCCGCGCTACTTACCAAAGACTCATGCATTCTTTGATTCTACTGATACTTACATACTTACCACTGACCCTTCCACTTTGCCATACTTACCACTGACCTCTGCACAGCTTAATACTTGCCACTGACCCCTGCGCTACTTAGCACTGACCCCTGCGCTACTTAGCACTGACCCCTGCACTACTTACCACTGACCCCTGCACTACTTACCACTGACCCCCTGCACTACTTACCACTGACCCCTGTACTCTGCACTACTTACCACTGACCCCTGAACTCTGCACTACTTACCATTGACCCCTGCACTACTTACTACTGACCCCTGAACTCTGCGCTACTTACCACTGACCCCTGCACTACTTACTACTGACCCTTCCACTCTGCAACACTTACCATTGACCCCTGCACTACTTACTACTGACCCTTCCACTCTGCAACACTTACCATTGACCCCTGCACTACTTACTACTGACCCTTCCACTCTGCAACACTTACCACTGACCCCTGCACTACTTACTACTGACCCTTCCACTCTGCAACACTTACCATTGACCCCTGCACTACTTACTACTGACCCTTCCACTCTGCAACACTTACCATTGACCCCTGCACTACTTACTACTCTGAACTCTTCAAACCTCCTTTACTTCTTATTGGGGCTTTGCTAGGTTAACAAAAGAAGAAAAAAACCAAAACAAAAAAAAAAAAAAAAAAAAAAACACACACTCTGCGAGTGTTGATATATTTTCCATGTTTTAGGTAGATCCCCACCTCAATAGGGTTACCTAAAGTTCAACAAAAAGGGTTGCCTGCAGCGCAAAGATACAAACTCCTGTTTACTGTTGTCTGCTGACGAAAAAAATCCCCCTCTCAATTTGTCGTGGTGACCAATGTAACTCTGTATATAATCCGTACCTGGAATTCACTTTTATTTTACATTATCCATGTCCTTGTACCACAAGATGTAATATATTGTATCTAATCTGGAGATGGGAACACATACACACGACTGTAAATATGGAACCACAGTCCAACATTTGTAATGCCAATGTATATGTTTGTCTTTTGTTACTTCAAAAATGCAAAAAAAAAAAAAAAATGTAGCAAAGACGTAAGCTCCTCTGGATAAGAACTCTCACCTACCTGGTGACGCTCTGGTTTAGATAAGAAACGTTCGGCACATAGAACATGACGCCAAAGTACAGCACGGGTTCCACTGAGAACTTGTCTAGTTGCTTCCTCAATGGTTTCTCCAGCTCCACCCATCGCGCTTGTTGGTTCTTCCCGACAAACCAGAGGCCAAAGTAATGGGTCTAGAAAAAGAGATGAGATCAAGGTCAAGATTGGCATCACTGTGAACTGATCATCTGTGGTGCTGGTCAAGAGGCTGAAGCCCTGCTCAGAAGCAGTCTGAAAAGCCTCCTGAATCTGGCAGCTTGGACTATATCTAAAGTGTATGTCAAGCCAAAAAATGTTTGTTCTGTTTTTGAATAGAGTGGGGAAGGATTAGAACTCCTGCTGGTTTTTACTGCTATCTGGGGCTCATCACGGAGATTTGCCCTCACTTCCTGTCCTGACGTACGAGGAGGGAGAGAGAGGAGAGAGCCACTGCTCTTAGGCACAGCGCTGGAGTAAGATCGAGCTCAGGTAAGTGTAAGGGGGTACAATCTATGTTGCCTGTTCGCAGTCTCTGACCATCCTCTGTTGCCAGTCCTCTATCTCTGATCATCCTCTGCCGTCTGTTATAGGTCTCTGATCATCCTCTGTTGCCTGTCATCAGTCTCTGACCATCCTCGCTCGCCTGTCCGCACTCTCTGACCATCCTCGCTCGCCTGTCCGCACTCTCTGACCATCCTCGCTCGCCTGTTCACACTCTGACCATCCTTGCTCGTCTTTCCCCAGTCTCTGACCATCCTCTCTCGCCTGTCTCCAGTCTCTGACCATCCTCTCTCACCTGTCCCCCAGTCCCTGACCTTCCTCTCTTGCCTATCCGCAGTTTCTGACCATCCTCTGTCGCCTGTCTGCAGTCTCTGACCATCCCCTATTGCCTGCCCACAGTCTCTGACTAGCCTCTTTCACTCACAATCTTCTGTAACTGGTTTCTGCTGGTAACACTGCACTACTCACTGATTAGGCTGCGTACTCATCTCCTCCAGCTCCCAGTGCATGAAAACAAGCAAACCTGACGACACCATACACTGCAATAAAGTCCCGGCACACGACCTCCCACTCTCAGACTGATTTCTGATGTGCAATCATACAATATGAATTGTGGCAACATGAAGACAGATTTTTGCCATTTACGGGGGGGGGGGGGGATTTGAAAATACATTTCCTATTAGTACATAATGGTGTATTTGTGTATATTTGCCTAGAGATGTGCTTCAAGTTAGTTTTGGGAATATCTACAACAGAAAACATTAAATTATGTTGCTAGGAAAGTTATCTGGCATGATTTCCCTGGAGCCAGATTAACTTCAGCAGCAGGCCAAGGAATGCAAACTGTCAAATATCCTGTCTAGTGTTGTAGATTAATGGGCACGTCTCTCCATTGCCAGCAATGTAACATGCATAGCCGGCATTCTGAACAGGACCATTACAGCCTCCCAGAAAAATATTGATTCATCGGGTTCTATAATACCGCATGTCTTCTGATCAACCACATTCAGAAAATGAACTGAAAAAAATAATAATTATTTAAAATGACCATTATTTCAATGGGATCGTCAGTTATGTTTTTAAGAAAAAAGAAAAAAAACCAAGACAAGTAAAGCCTAACATACGCAGGTCAAACGCTGAGCAGCATCGGCCGACATTCGGTCCATGTGTAGGGCAGCCAGGACGAATTCTGTCAAAATAGGCCTGCCGATCAACTCCCGATCAGCGCTCTCAGCCAATGGCATATTGCAGAAATCAATACTGGGTTAAATAAATGATTAGGACACAAAAGTCCAGAATTGAGGCAGGTGTCAGGACATAGACTGGAGCTTCATGTGAGATTTTTTTTTATCTCGTTATAAAGAAATGTAACTTGTTTCTGAATGCTTCAATTGTAATCTACCAATTTTCATTGCAGCGGGTGGTAAAATTGAACTCAGAGAAGCACAAATGTGTCTAACTATAAGAATCATGTATTCTTGCTTCAATCTTGGTGAGCTTTGTGTATTTCTTACAGATCTGTGCAGTAACCCAGTGTGAGACGTCCTGTGATAAAGACCGGTCACTGTTGCTCTCTCTCTGTGTGCAGGGTGACTGGTCTTGTCTCCGCCCCCTCCTGTAGTGGGTGGGGTCTGCGGGAGTCCCAGCTCTGCACAAGCTTTCTACATCACAGTACTACTTTTACAAGGTAATAACCGGGTTTGAAGAAGCATTTGGTACACATCATCATGTATTTTTTTTGCCCCTTGTAGCTATTAATATATTTAAATGATTTTCTTTGTGCCCAGAGTTCAGCTGTAAGTACAGATGTCAACTCTCCAGGATTTCCAGGGACAGTCCCACGTTGAGATACTCTGTCTGGATAACTGGACTGTGTCCCGCAATCACTTTTTAGAGTTACTGAGCATGTACCATAATGTCACTTTCATGGGTGGCTGGGGGGTGGGCAGTAAAAACAGGCAGTTGTGCCTAGATTTTTAAACACAATAACACAGCGGGGGATATCACCACACTAACATCGCATAGGTAGTAAGTCAAAATCTCAGTCCATTGGGCTGAACAAAAAAAAACCCGTAATGTGTGTGTACTAAGCTTTACACACAGCCAGAAGGGGCTGTTCACATGGCACAGGACTTTGTGTCGTGCTCAGTGTAACACGGCATGGCAAGTTGATGACACACTGATGCGGTGCAGGATTTGCAGCGATCACTGTATGGTTCCCACAACATATCCCAATCGCACGGTTTTCATGTCATCGTCTGCAGGTGTCAATGTTTCACTAACGACACCCCAAAAACAGATCGCAAAATGCAGTGCGATTGCCTGAATCAGATTGCAAGGGTGTGCACACCCATGCGATCCGGTTCCAGTGCAGTGCATCTTTTTCTTGCGGATATGGTATGATTTGAGCCATACAAAATGAATGGACACGGAATCCCATGTGATTTGAACAGGAGTGTGGGGCAATTCCAGGAGTGTGGTGCAATGTGAGTGTGAACCAGGGCTCAGACTTGCCCATAAAAGGCAAAGGGGGGGCGCTGCAAATGCTTGACTCGCAGTTGCAGCTCATTAGTGCCAGTAAAGAAAAAAAAAAGGCATTCAGCTGGCGACATAAGGGCTTTCTCGAACATCTGACATCCACTGCTTAGTCTTCTTGGTGAAAAGCAATCCAGCGTAAATTGCTTTTCAGAGAAAGGACAAGTGTGAACCTATCCCAAACTACATCACCGACCTGATATCCATCTACCACCCAAAACGCACTCTCCGCTCCTCACAAGACCTCCTACTCTCTAGTTCCCTGGTCTTCTCCCTCCGATGCCCGTCTCCAGGACTTCTTCAGGGCTTCCCCCATCCTCTGGAACTCACTACCCCAATCTATCAGACTGTCACCTACCCTCCTCTCCTTTAGGCGCACCCTGAAAACCCATCTCTTCAGAGAAGCCTACCCCGCGCTCACCTAATTGCTGATCTCCTCCATTCTTCCCACCACTCCATCCCCCACAGCTATTTCCTCCTGTACCACTCTCCCCTCCCTCCTAGATTGTAAGCTCCAAGGAGCAGGGCCCTGAAACCCCTCGTGTATTGTATTGTTACTGTGCTGTCTCGTGTACTGTCCCCCACTATAATGTACAGCGCTGAGCAAACTGTTGGTGCTATATAAATACTGTATAATAATAATAATCCTAACTCATAAATGGGTATTAACTGAGGGGATCGCGACCACCAGGCATAACTACAAATGGGACCACCTGCAGAGTGGGTGTGATATGGGCAAGAAGGTGGGCATGTTAAGTGTCGGTGGTGGCAGAGAAATAGGTGTCCTGGGGATCAGAGCAAATATGACGACAAGTATGGGTAAGGCAGATGTACACCCAAACTGAATGATCTCTATTTTGCTAAAGCACTGTAATAAACTTCCATTATTTTTGAAAATAAAATACTTTTTTTATTCACCATGTTGCAGCGCAGCTGATCACCTGAAACCTCTTTGCAGATACTTTACTGGCTGCATGCGACTTCTCTGGGTGTGTTTTCTGGTGGTGACATAAGCAGCCCAATTTGCATAATGTGCATTGAAACTACCACTCTATTAGCAAGCCTGATGTTACCGGGTGACAACGCAGAAGCAGAATTCAGAGAAAGCGTGGTCACCCTATAACAGGAAGTGATCATGGCAGGATCACCAAGTAATAGTTCAGTGAAAAAAATAAAAAAAAGATTAACGGTTATATCTGAATTTAGTGTTTTTTTAAAAAAAATAGTGAATTCTATTGTGATGAATTTTAGTGGATATCCAGATGTGTCAAGGGGGACCATCACTACTGAGGTTCAGTAGCCACCCCAAGAATGGCAGAGTGTGATCTCCCTGATTGGTTGCTGGATTGGAGTCACCTTTTAATATTTCATACATTGGTATGACTGATGCTCCAAGACGTGTCATTTTTGCCGATCGGTCACTTCACACAGATTGTCTGAACGTCATCCAGACACGCAGCAGCTTGTCATCCGGGATGTGTAGGCGCGCGGCTTCTAATGAACTTCCACTGCAGCTCGCATGCTGGGGGAAGGGGTGTCAGCTCCTCTCAGTGTCTGCCGCTCCACGCAGCAACACCTGCCTGCTAATTACATGCTGGAGGAGCCGATCTCACTAGCAGGCCTACAACGTTTGGCTCAGATCTTCCCTAATACATACCAAAATCTGACAATACATTGAAAGCCTTGCCTATCTAATCTGGTTCTTACAGCTGAACTCCAGGCAGATATAAAAGATACAGCATTGATCTGATGCTGCTTCTGTCCCTGCCAGCTCTGCACTGAGCGATCAGATTAAATAAGAGATAAAAACATGGAAGCCGATTGGTTTTTATTTCTCATTTCTCCCCTCCACTCTGAGCTGACAGTCACTGGCTCTCTGCTCTGCCCCTCCAGCACTCACTGGAGCACCAGGCTGTGGAGGGGTAGGAGCAGCTGGCTCAGTCTCCCAGCATCATGCTGAGAGGCTGACTCAGCTCCTGGTCCAGGCATCTGGGGAGATCCTAACATTAAAGTTGGGATAGTTCCAGAGCCTGGACCGGCTAAGTAATGTCAGCTGACAGCAGGTTTAGCCTGCTGTCAACTGAAAATGGAGTACAGGAATGCAGAATGAAGTGCACTC